TTTTTTTTTTTTTTTTTTTTTTTTTTTTTTTTTTTTTTTCAAAGGACAAAGATAGAGCCAAATTATTATGGCTGCCGGCAATATATTTACAGCGTCGTCGCTCCCTTTCTATCCTCCTCGCTCCATGTTTGCTTTATCTCTCCTCTTTACCGATATCCTTTACTTCCACCATTTCATTTTTCACATTTTTGGCGCACTTGATTTTGCATAATGCCCATACACGTACGTGTAGCGTCTCGCGAGCCCGAGATTTCGAAAGCCGGATTACCCAAGCGAAAGTCCAAAGATCGAATCTGTGCACGCGCGTGTAGGTACATCGAGGGGGGGGGAGAGGGCGGAGGGAAAAAAATACAGATGCCAGATAATTTATCCACCAACTGAGATAATAGTACCAAGGTAAAACCGGTGTACGTGAGGGAGATAAAGTGTATGGAAACGTTGTCTCGCGCAGATTGGTGCCGTTGATCTAGCTAGAAAAAAAAAAAAACATTTTTTTCGAGCGAGATAAAAAATTTTTTTTTACCAATGACTATACAAACTATTTTTTTTTTTTTTCGGGTTTTTAATCGTATTTACTCGTTTGTCATTACTTGCAAAAGCAGCGTTTTTCTTTGGCATGTGTTTTAAAAGAAATAACGTAATTGAGCAACTGAATACTCGCACCCATATCTCTCTCGAAGATAAGTATTTATCCTTAGTTACTGCTTGTGCACTTTTTTTTATCGCCAAAGCCCGCAACATTAATAAAATTACGATTTCCAAGTAAAAGGGTGTATTTTTTTCTTTCGTATAATATTTGCAGAATCGCGGATCAATAAATAATGTTCAATTGTCATCGATGTGTAAATATACATCACGAGCATTTTTCACCAGTGTTTGTTCGGCAGATGGTTTATTCATTGATGTATCCCCCCCCCCCCAAGCGTGCAACATATTTACAGAATGAAAAAAAAAAAAAAAAAAAATGAGTTTGGATCGGTTGGCCAACCACCTTGTTTGGTCCGACAAAACCGAATCTTCTTTGTAGAGAAAAAAAATAAATAAAGAAAGAAACCAACTTCGTATCAGAGTCAGAGTAGCTATCACACGTGTATACTTGTGCCTTCGATAAGGTGATTATATACCCAGGGAGCATGGATTTATGTAACGTTGCCTATGATCTCACACAGCGTAGTATCAATGTACATACCTGAGCGTATCATATCCTACATGAATATAAGTCACATGCGGGTAACGCGCTCTACACGCTCGAGACATTTTGACAAGGTGCTTCCGCTTACGCGCGCTGTACGACGTGACGGACCCTTTTAGGTGTACAATATGTGATTTAATTCAAGGCCAACGGATGATGAACTGCGCTTTGACGAGTGATATCTAATGGGTGTCTGGATCGGTTGTAGCGAGGGGTAAGTACCGCGGTAATATTGATACGCGATTAGATTTTCCTTTCACACGTGTCCGTACAATCCATTTACGTATATTTATAGGGTGTGCGAGGTCGTTGATTACTCGATTTGGCAACTGATATATTATGGCCAATGCTCAGATGTTACTGGTTTCATTGACGAAAAATTACGAAACTATTGGAATTTTATCTCTGATCATTTTGTGATTTCTTTACGGATTTTTTTTTTCTTTGAGAAAATACACCCGTCGTAGGTGCAGTGTGCTGATTTAACGATTTACTGAAAATTATTCACGTATTAACGTACGGTTTTTATCTCGCGAGCCTTCGGTCGATCAGTCACGTCTGTCAAGCTCGTTGTTAAAAAGCTCGGCCATTTATCAATTCTACGTAAAGACAGCTCTTACGCACTTGTAGTAAAGAGATGCCGATGCGAGATCTCGCGTGGAAATTGCTTTTTTCGAAAAATATACTCACCTAAGCAGCAGTTCTCGTGGTCTGGAGAAACTCGATTTTCCATCTCGAGGCAAAGAGAACGCGCTCCGTAAATGGCAACGTTCGTTCGGCCGATTTATTTGTGCACATACTTACTTGTACCGAACACCTGGAAATCTTTGACGAAAGAGTTGGGAAAAATATGGCTTGGTTGTGACATTTTCGAGCACAAAGGATGAGGATTTCTATTATTTATACAGTTTATTGATTTATTAATCATTTTTTTTCATCGCAGTATTGAAAAAAAAAAAAAAGGAAAAATTTTACAATGGGAAGCAAGTAACAAGACAACCCCTGCTACCTTTAGAAATTAATTTATTCACTTTTTTATACAATAAATGTTCGCATAAAAGACACATCTTCACACTCTCAGCACTTTCCTACTCTCAATTGTTTTTTCTTTTTCAAACATAACATCATTACAGTTTATACAGAAAAAAGCTCTTGTATGTAAAAAAGGGGGGGGGGGGAAAGGAAAAATTGGAAAATGTTTTTAAAAAGACACAATCTAGGAATGCTTTTCTGTCGAACCTACAAAAATATATCATAGTAGTTCATTGGTCCCTCGCATTGACGTACGTTTTCACATTTGCGTTATAGACGTACACTCGATATGTCCGTATACATACGAAAAAAATTATGATCATACTCGGCGCCACAATTGTCTCTCGTCACACACATCGCTCTCTTCGTCTCTCTTTCTCTCTCGGTTTCCCGCGCCTTACCGAGTATACGCGCATATAACAGTCATATGCCGTTAAACGGATCTATCACAATTCAGCTAAATTACTACTAAGCAGCTACGTAGCTCCCTCTTTTTCTCGTCCCAGTCTCTCTTTGTCTCTCTCGCTCAAGAAAAAAAAAAAAAAAGCTGGCACACGCGTTGACACATTATACGCCTACACACGCACACCCATGCACGTGCGTTTGCCAACGTATGTGCATGTGCGTGCGTGCACTTACTCGAAAGGGTTGTAGTACTTCGCATCCAAGTTGGAAAGTAATGTAACCAATCGCCTCGATTATTTAGCAGGAGCTTACACAGGCCTCATTATCGTCTCGCTGGATTTTTCTTTTTTCTTATTTTTTTCTATACCGTACTTTTATTGTTGGCGCTTTTTGGACGATACTTGGAAATGAACGATACTGTCAACATTTTGTACAATAGATGATTCGCATGAAAGGTAAAAACAACGTCGATCATCGTAATGTAATGTGAGAGTATACGATTCTGTATCGGTATCAGCAAGAGATATTCACGCATCCGACGACGGTTGTTACTTCCGTTGGAGGTACAGATTTTTAATGACGACCGCTCGATGAAAAAAAAAAAAAAAAAAAATTACAAAAACGCTATGAGGCTTGATTTCTTTGTTTCATATACTCTCGGGTTTTTCTTATTGACGCATTATTTTCTACATAAAATTATTATTCATATAAAAGTTACAGAACACTTGAACGTATGCTTTCTATACGGCAGACAATCTAAAATAATGAAGAACAAAACTTTTTTCAGGGTGGCAGTACTATGTAAACTGTACGATGATTTTGTAAAGTCGAAAATGATGTGTGTATCTGTAAGCTATATTGCAATGATGGTAAGTTACAAAAAAATGCAGAACATGGGTCTCTTCGTACCCTGTATTGGCGCATAAAGGCAAACCCAACGGTGCACTTGATAATGATTTACTTCACTTGGCATAATTTCATCCACTCGATACATGTAAAAAATAGTTAGTACTTCAGAAAAAAAAAAAAAAATAATAATAACAAAGCAAAGTAACAGAATGACTAATCCATACTTTTCATACATTCACGCAGTATCAAGAAACGATACTTCCATAAAGGCAGCGCAGCTGATAAGACTGTTTTTTCCAATGACGAATCTCGATTAAATCACTTGCGAGTCGTGTACAGCTTCGTAAAAGTGCCCGTTAGATTTTTTACATTAGAAAAAAATAAACAATAAAAAAATCATCAAAGGTTTTGAACGAGATGAAAACAAATGAGAAAACAAACCATGCCAAACCTGTAGGACTCAATTTTTTTTTTCCGTTTCAAAAAGAACAAAAAAATAACGTACTGAATGCGATCGAAAAGAGAGAAAGAGAGCATAAATATCATAAGCACGGGACAACCAGTGGTTCCCATCGTTCCCAGCGTTTCGGGACGTTTTCCATCGAAAAATCCTATTGTACTTTTCCCCGTAAGAATATACATACGAAACCAGAGAGAATTTTTCATCGCGATAACAAGAGCTCGGAGATAAAGAAAAACCAAGCCAGCGCAGCTTCGTTAAAACGAAGAAAAGGACCCTCTCCGAAGAAACAAAGAGCCGATCCCCTCGTTCGCGCGCTCTCCGGTAGACGGCGGTGCCATTAAGGGCTGTACCGATCTCTCGATCCTTCTTTCGCCTCCCACGTCCTCTCTCCTTCTTCTCTCCTTTTTATAACGAAAGCCTCATTTGTTATTCATTCCCTCGACTGCAACTTCTATCTCTCTCTCTGTATACATATATGCGTCGTCTCGAGCGAGCCGTGAGAAAAAGGACGTCTCGGGAAGACTCGCCGAGGCTTCGCGGGCTCTAATTGTGCGATAAGCGGCGGATATAGAGTCGTTTTCTTTTCCCCAGCACTCGCTACGACTTTGCCTCGTTCTTCGCTTGAAGAGCGAGGTAAAGCGAAAATACGCGACATTTTGAGATACATATTTCCCCCCCCCCCCCAAGACGTTCAACTAGCTTAAAAGGCTAAAAAGTTTTGATTATCTTTATTTTTTCTTTCTTACAAGTTAATAATAGTTATTATAATTATGAGTTAATGTTTAAAAAATAAAATTATCTTCAACTCGAGTTTTTATTCATCTCAATCATGACTGAATTTTTATTTCCATATTACAAGAATTTTTTTCTATTTTTTAACGATTGTCGCGGATAAGGATAGAGTGTTGCCGAAACATGTTTTATGCTAATCTATAGAGTTTTTTTTGTATAAGTGAATACTATAATTAAATTCGCTTATCTAATTTAAAAATAATTAAAACGCAAAATAGTGCACGGTTTTCGCACGTTTCAAGTTTACAGCGGACAATTACAAACGAGCTCTGCAATTTTACATCCAAGGCATTCAAAATGTCTAAGCCTCTCGTAAAAAAAGCCGCTACATTTATCAAGAGGATCGGTGTATTTCATTCCGATAGGGAACGAGAGATCGGCGAGTGCATCGTCAGCTTTAATGCAAAGGTAGAGTATTTTTGCCTTTCAAATGGAAAAAAAGATTGACTCGAAAAATTTGAATCCCGAGAAAGGGGCGACAAAGCACTTCCGTCGCTGCATCAGCTCTTCGCGGAGTGACTACTGTAATATACTATTTCGGGAGCGGCTTTTTTCCTCGGCTCGCCAAGCGCGTTACTTGAATTACCCGACCAGTGTCTCTTTTAACCCCGGCTTTCAATTGCCTCCCCTCGGTCTCTCGAGTTACTCCGGTGGAATTTTACACCACGTCCGGTTAACGCTTAATGCCTCGAAAGAAAGATTTCCCTGGTTGGATTCAAACCGCCCGGGTTTTCAATTTTGTTCAAATTTCAGGAGGAAAATCCGGGGTGCGAAAACACGAGATGCCATTATTTCCAAAATTTTACCGAGAATCGTGCAACTATTACGACTATCGTGTACATTTTTTTGGGTGTTAAGAAAAAAACTTGAAATAATTTTGTTTCTCCATCTCAAATGATAATTATAATTGATTTTACCACGACACAGTTAGACATCTCAAATGAAATGAACGCAACGATGAATAAGAAAAAAAATGTAATGGTGAATTAAAAGTACTGATAAATCAAAGAAATTTTAGAATACCGTGAAATTAAATGCCGAGCGTGCCGTTCCTTAAAAATAACTCGAGCGAGCCAAGAGTGGAAAATCATTTAGGAAGTGCATTTATTTTAAACGTATTTCCACGCTGTCAACGAAATCCCATTCAATACTGCCAAACGAAGAATCTACATCTAATGAATGATAAAAATAATAAGCAACTACGCAACATATCTAACACTTGTATGCAAACTTTTTTTAATTTTTTTTTTTAATGCTATTCTTTTCTATTCTATTAAATACAATAAGAGTATACTCATGAACAGTGTAGCGACTGATGGCTTAAAAATTTTGTATGTACTACTTTTTTGACTACCTAAATCTTCATTATAAACGAAATTGTTCAAAAACAGCATAAATCTTTGTATACTACAGCTAAATAAATAAATAAAGTATAAGTAAAGTAAAAGATTGATCAAAATGCATTGGGACACGCTCAAAAGATGCTGAGAAGACAGGCGGAAGATGATACAGAAATTTAATCGCAAATGAAAGAAACAAGAACAATAACTAAAAGTGCATCGCGTGGGCATGATATTCTTTCATCATAGAAATTCCCTTAGTTACAGACTACCAAAAGATAACGTGGGGGAAAATACTGAGCTGCGTTTGCCTTTGCGCGACTCACGCGGGGAAGGTACGCACATCATCACAAATATGCTTCAAGTACACTTTTCAGTTTCCGTTCTATCTTCATTATTTTATTTTGCTTCAAATTCACTTTTACTCGAGCATTTTCTGTCTATATCTCTTGAAATCAAAAAGAAAAAAAATTGAATCACCTAGAGTAAGTATGTTATAATCGGCAGGGTACACGCGATCTGTCCCTCTATCTTTCTTCTTCTCTTCCTCGCAATCTTCCAAGCTTCTCGTTTTCGGTCTTGCGATCGATCGTTCGTTCGATTACGGCTGCATCGTCGTTATCAGGAAAAAGAATAAATGGGCTAGTCGAAGCTGGAAAGCAGTTTTTCCCTAGACGTTCTCCTTGCCTTCAAACTTTTTCGCTAGGTCGGATATCAGTTGCTTGTAGATGAGCGGATCGATGTTCTTGCCGAGCTGATAGAGAATGAACCAATCGCCAATCTGACACCTTTTGTTTATCGTCTCGATCTGGTCGTGGGTGTTGAGCCGCGAGCGCGCTCGCAGAAGTAGTCTACGGAAGTTGACTCCCGTGCACACGCATACTCGGTAAATCAAACTCATGGCGCTGATGGCAGCCAAGAACCAGAACCAGAACCAAAGGAACACGTAGATCTTCTCGTTGACGATGTTCAGCGGGAGTACGCAGAGACCGTCCAATTTCTGCACAGTACCGGAAGCACCATATTTGTGGAAGGTGCACTTTGTGACTTTTGGGAAGACTCGAGACATGGGGTCGATGCGATCGTCCGGATCCATTTCTGTGAGCCCAACGACTTCCAAGCCGTATTGCGAGAACTCGCCGCCCAAGAAGACGTCGACAACATACATTTGTAGGAAGACGTTGATGAAGTTTAGAAATTCGCAAAAGAAGAAGCGAAACGCATAAAAGTTCTGGGAGTGAAGGTTCGTAGTGAAATAGTCGACGAGGAGCTTCCTACGGTCAGCCTTGCAGTCCTCGCTTACGACCGGGAAGTTCAAGTCGAGCACGAGCATCTTGATTCTGCCACCTTCCCACGTTTTCCAGAGGTAACGAGGGACGTAAAACAGAAGGGCTTGGAAAAATAGGGCAAAGCAAACCCACTGGTAGTACTTGTGGTATCTGACTTGATCCAATCCATCCATGTGCGCTGCTACACCAGGTTGAACGACATCCTTGCCTGGCTCTCCGTTGAGTTTTGGCACCGTGAAGGTGGAGTAGATCCAGCAGTAAGTGTCCATTATATGCAGTGGGATGTCATCTACTATGCAGTCGATGGGGTCACCAATGTACTGTCTTGAAGTGACCAGCAGCGAAAATGCCACCAGAATGACAAAGGTTGCTTTGTAATGTAGTCTGAATACATTGTTGTCAATGCAAACCACATCGAGCTTTAGCAAGCCCTTCACCGAGCCAAAAACGTCAAACATCTTGGCTCTGTATTCTCTTTGATTTGCCTATTAAAAATAAATAACCCTGGGAAAAATAACAAAAAAAGATTTTTAGATCGCAGGCCCCCTGTCAAAAAAATAAGTAAATAATAATAATAATTTAACGTTTTTAATATTAATCAATTGGAAAGCAGTATTAAAAACTTTCTTTGATCTGTTTGCAAATTTGTTGTTTAAAATGAAATTAAAATTAAGAAAATTCTGATGGTTTGTGGCCAAGGGCAAACAAATGAAAGAAACCCCACAGCAACAGTTGCGGTGAAGTAGAGCTCTGAACTCCTTTCCTCTCCCTCCCCCTACTCACAGGGTCGGATCTAGTGGCAGAGGTGCCCTGTCCGGCCCTTATTTGGCCTGAAAGGGTCGTATGCTCAAGCGCCACTCCAACGCAATAGCCAAACTAGGTCTTGATACCATCTAAAAAGGGCTGTCCACAATTCAAGTATGGCAAAAAAAACTTCTGTTTGACTAACTCATAGCTACGTTTACTAAATATAATCAGATTTAATATTAAGTGCTTCAAAATTGTTAAGTGATACTTTCTGTTGTTTTAATCAACGGTTACCTATTTTTTTTCACGATGATGCAATATGGAAAAAGTAATGTTTCTTTTTTTTTTTTTTTTGTTTGAAAAACAAAATTTAATAGTAATTAAGATAAAACAAATAAATTTATCCATGCATTTGTAAGCCGTGCATAATATACTGTGGGATCTTCTCTAAAACACTTTTTCACATACGACCCGTACCTACAGTGGCCCTTTCAGGTACCGATCAGGGCTTGGCCTGGCTGCCAGACATGATCCTGGGAGTAGCTTACGCGGTAAGACAGTCTCAATCGGGTGAGGCATGAAAAGACACCGGCACAGCGCGCACCAACCAAGCTCCTCGGCTCGAAGCCGTGGTTGCTCTGTCTGACCCACAAACATGGTTTGTCTTTCGCTCTCGAATATACACATAATTGTGTAGTGCATGCAATATTAATAATAATAAAATATTCACTTTCTCATTGATTTTTGCAACAAAAACAAAACTCAACTCCCTTAAAAGCACCGGAATAGCCATAAAATTGAGTAACACACAACAGAAAACAAGAAGGATGATGATACAAACCTCGTGTAAATACTGGGTTTTAACTAGAGACCCAACCAGATAAGAGAATAACGAATGGTGGAGGACGATGTGTGCCTTTTTCTCTGCGTTGTCTGTCAGAACGTAGCCTCAAGCTGTGTAGCGTCTCCTGCCTTCTCGAGAAACAAAAAAACAAAAACAAAACAAAGTAAAGATAACAGCACATTTGTATCAAAGCAGCATGAAAATGTATGCATTTTTTATGTCGGAGGAAAAAGCAAAGTAAAAAAACTTACCTAAATGAGGGAAAACAGCCAACGAATCCTTAATCCTCCCTTCGTTAGCACTGTTGCACGCTCGATCAGAAGCTTACGGCGACGCACTAAACGCAGCAATGCTGTCCCGTCGTCAGCACACTGTACACTAAGAGAGAGAGGCCCTTCCTTTTTCTTCTCCTGCTTAGGTATTCTCTGAATTCGCTCCCTTATTTAATGCACGCGCCACGCACTGGCTTGTCCGTCACTATTGTGTATATATACAACACACACTCAAACGGTATACATGTGTACCTATTGATGCCTGTGTACAGTCAAGTCTCCATAGCAGGCTCTCTGTATGTCCTGTACTCCTTTGCTCTCTTTTACAACCGAAGTAAAAGAAAGTCGTGCAAAAAAAAAAAAAATTACGTTTAATTGCTCTAGTGTTTCACTGTAAACGTCAAAGTATGTACAAATACACGTATATGGCACAGCCAAGTGAGAAAGGGAGCCTGTAGGACCTAGCCAGGCTTCGTTTTGGGTACTTTTCTCTTTGTCAAACTTGACTCTCGAACAGCTCACACGAGCGCGCACGAGAGCGTCGGGGACTGAGCTCGTGCTCGCCGAGGGACCCTTCCTTTCCGCTCCTCCGCCGCTTCTTCCTCGTCCCTTGCCGCGCCACTCCCCATCCCCGGTCCAAACGCTGTGCATGTGCCGTTTCTCTTGTGCTTGCCTCTCTTTTTTTGCTATCTCCGTCGCTCTCCTGCGTTTCTTTCTATATAATATCTTCTCCCCCACTTGGTGGTTTCTCTCTTTCTCTTTGCTCCACGATCGCAACGCGTTTTACGCGTGGTGTCCCCCGGGTATACTTATAAATCTTGCCTTTGAGTGTACACGCTGTGCTCACGCGAAATGTATATATATATATACAATTTCTGCCGTGCGCTCGTGCTTGCGTATCTTGCACTATACCTAACTTTTACGATAGGAGGAGATTATGGGGGGGAAGGCCCCACTCTTAGCTGGCTCTTTTTCTCCCCCTTTTCTAAAGGTGTGTGTGCACAGGTATATACATACATGTATAAGGGTACAAAACTGCTGCGCCGACGATGAAGAAAGAGGGGAATAAGGCCATAATATATTATACATCAGGCTCCCATTATGTCCCATAGGTAGGTGTATAGACTCCGCAATCCGCACAAAATTCAACTCCATATAGCGCGACGAGTCCCGTAAAGCAAACGACAGTAGTGTTACACTACTACCAGTGTACATATTTATATTATACACTGTACTGTTTTCGAAATAAACAAAACATATACTTATTATATAAAAATTTACTGTTTACGTCTGCGGTGCTAAATATTTTAGACGATTGCAAACACAGAGCAAAGTATTTATCTAATCCCGTTTTAGAGTTTTTATAACGACCATATAGTAAAACATGGTTCAAATTTAAAATTATGCTTCCTTCTTCAAAAGGCTTTACTCCACCATTAACATATTTCATTTACTTATAAATTAAATATTTTTATTGTAGGACACGAAATTTTGGTAAACATTAACAATAATATAATATTAATCTACCAACATTGTAAACAAGTTTTGTACTTGCC